CTGAAATTTGAATAGGAAATTGTGTAATTAGTTTGATAAATTCGCGTAGTATAATTTTTGTGATCTGAACACAAGTTTATCAGAGAAGAATCGCTTTTTCATCATCCGGAGGGAGACCCAAATTCTAATAAAAGAGCTTACGCAATCGCGAGTTTGCTGATCCTACAGCCGCGGTTTTTAGTAAGTAATGCGTTTAACGATCGGTACGGTCAGCCTAGCCGTAAAACTCGGCCTACGCAATCGGTATGTCGATGTTGATATGCGTACATACTCGTAATAGAATCAATACCAGGTATACCAGGTCGTGTTCATGCGTGTCACGTTTTGCTCATAAAATCTCCCTTCAAATGATTAGGCTTTTCAATTATTCTTTACGAAATGTGACACCATCAGGAGCAATTAGCATTCTTACTTTCATCTAACAAATATCCAACAGACACTCTTTACTTAACTTACTTGTTCTTCCTTTTAATCAAATTTCATTGTACTTTATCTTATTTCTAATAGTTCGCCGCGCGTGTTGCGGAATGTTTATTTAGAGAAAACGATACCAAGACGCGGCGAACGCTCTGTTTACATTTTTGGTTGCGCATCCGGATCACGCGGTGAGCATGGAAACCTTGAAAGGGTATTTGACACTGCCGGGCGTGCAAAAGGAGAATGTGATCAACTTAGAATCACCAGCTTATGTCAGCATCTACTTTAAAGGTGTCTCGGCTTACGAAAAAGAGAACTATGCGGAAGCCGCTGGTCTTTTCGAGACGTCGTTGAGATCTTACTTAGACGCTGAGCAAGAATGCAGGTTTTACTGCGAAGGTCCCTTCGATCAGGGCTGGTATCCAGAATTCACGTCGTCCGTCGCTAGTGAGTAGGGCTGAAATACAACTGGGAAGAATTTATAAATAGCTATGGCAGTAAATACTCCCGTCTCCGTTATTTCAGATCATTTCGCATTTTGTTTGAAATGCAAACGAGCCTGTCCGCGGATGTTGAACAGCATAAATGGCGATTATCGTCCGGATATACTCAGGAGTCACTACAATTATTTGCAGTTTTCCTATTACAAATGTGAGTAATTTCATTGACATAGAATGAAAAATTGAAAGTTACTGCTTCTTTTTCATTATAGAACCACTCAGGAATCTCTTAGTCATGCCTTGAAGGAGGTTTTATTAGATTAATCTTTCCTAAGTAGTCAGTCAGTTTCATTCTGATTAACAGGATCGTTTATCCGCGAAAATTGTTCTACTTTTATTGCCCAATTTATGTAGTAGGTCGTGTTTTTGTCGCTGATCTAATCTCTCGACCAACCAGCTTGTTTAATCATGGATAGTGTTGCAAAATATCGTCAAATTCATTCAAATGACTGATGTAATGTGTAATTGCGTATATGTTTTCACAGTGGGAAATTTGAAGGCAGCCTGTTCGGCGGTGGAAAGTTACTTGCTTTTCGAACCGATGGATGAAACGATGTTGCACAACAAGGAATATTATACTGCTCAGCCGAAAACAAAGCAACAAGATTTCATTCCCAGAAACGTACGCACTTCTTTTAAATTATGAATAAAAAGTATATAAATTATATGATACGATAGATAACATTGAAGTTACGTCATTCTTTTTTCAGGAGGCTCTTCTTTATGTAAAAAGGCAAGAATATGAAGTGAATCTTATGGTTTTCATCTCTCATGAATTTTCGTTGATTAATGCAAAATTTAAGAATAAGAAAGAAGAAAATTTGGAGAAGGTAAAGAACGAGATATAAAAAAGACTGGCAAAAGATGCTTAACTAGCCGAATTTGTTCTCTTGTTCGACGAAAATTACGCGCGTAATCGTTGCGATTGTCTATCGAACTTAAGACACATGTGTTCTTTTTTTACTTAGAAAAATCCTCTTTACTTTTTGTAAAAAATATAGCTAATAAAGTATACGATATTAAAAATGCTCTCTTATTAAACAACTATTCTATACTATGATTACTCGTTTACGTTCTATTAAACGTCATGCTGCTCCATTTCTTATCGAAACGCCTGAAAGATGCTAACCCCAAATACATCGGTGCATTTATTGCGCGAGAATAAGGCGAATGCATTAATAATTTTTGGATAATTTTTTGGACGAGAGCTGAAATCACTCGCAAATTTTGATTTTTAAATTCATCTAACATTTTCAGGAATTGAGCATGGAGGAAGACCTACATCAACCACCAGGTCGCTCGTTATTTTCTTCCATAAAATTGTCGATCAATATTTATACAATACCAGACGAGAGCTATGAAACAGAAGATAGAAAAGAGTCTAAAGTCAAGGACGATATTTATCTAATATCTAGGGACGAAGAGCTCGGAGGAAAAAATCGCTACGTAGCTGACGGTTTCCTCAGCACCGCTGACTGCCACTCATTGATGCAGCTCGTCAATGTACGTTATCATTCTACAATTTCATTCTTTTTTTAATATCTTCAGATCGTCTCATATTCTAATCTATGTACGAATAGATTGCCGGCGTAGAAGGAGACGGTTATAACGGAAATAAAAGTCCGCATTCGAAGTACGAGAAGTTCGAGGGGATTACTGTTGGACGAATAGCTTTGGTAAAATATCAATATCACGTTTTAATTTTAAAAGGACACCCTGATCAATTGACTTAACAATGATAATTTTAGTTGGTGTATTTCGGAAAAATACAGCCGGCACAGTTGCAACTGCTTTTGGAAAAGACCGAGCAAATTCGCAGTCACATGGAAAACCATTTCCAAGTAGATCGACACCTGTATTTCACTTATACTCATTTGGTCTGCCGCACGGCTCTACCCGGTAATTTTCATCTGATGAATCAACGTGCTTCCGGTTGCTTTCGCATTCCATCGGTTTATTTGGTACGGCTTGTGGATAACGGCGAATCAATCAAAGTAGAATATTTCGTAATATCGAATATATATATCGTAATAAATAATAATTACGTCAAATCTCCAGTACAAAAGAAAAATCCCTCTTTCTTAATTTTTTAAAAATACTCTAAAAGTTATAATCGAGTTTGTTTATTTTTTCGGTTACGTTATTTCATTGTCATCATTTGAGAAAGGATAATTTATATCTACTTTAAAATTATTTACGATGTGTCTTTTATTAACGTTATTAGCATCTAACTGTCTACAAAACAACGAATCTTTCTTTTTATAAGATTCACCGCCAAATCGTGACGACTTGAGCCATCAAGTTCACGCGGACAATTGTCTATTAAAGGATGAAAATATATGTCTTCGTCGAAATCCGGCTTACATTTGGAGGAGCCATTCTGCCATTTTGTACCTGAACGGTGATTTCAACGGCGGCGAGTTCTTCTTCGCAAAGAATCGCACTGCAAGAGAACTCGACAATTTAGTCTCGCCTCGTTGCGGACGAACAGTAGCCTTCTCGGCTGGCGAAGAGAACTTGCATGGCGTCCGAGGAGTTTTACGAGGCAGAAGATGCGCGTTGGCGCTTTGGTTCACTCAAAACGAGAAGTACTCGGAATATGAGAGAGATCTGGCTCGGGCGATCTTAAAAAGAGTCCAAAAAATAGGTCCTCTAAGAGAAAATAATATCCAGATTCCTTCGAAGTAAGTGAGATTGACAATTATTAAATATATTTTGAGCGTTCAGGGATAAGCATTTACTTAAACACTTTCATACTACTTCAGATACGAGGATTTGCTTATTGAGCATGCCAAGAGAGACGAGTCGCTGAAACATTTTTTCGAAACATAAATGGTTGTATGAACTAAGTATATATAGCTACACTATTTTGGATACGAATTCAAGAACGACAAGCCTTTATATGCAAGACTAATGTTATAGTCGGGCAGTCTACGTCTGAACTTCATGAAAACAGGGGACCTGAGTAGATGCGCTATTAAATAATATGCAATAATTAGTAACATTAGAACTACCGATGTATTATGTATAGTATATATATTTGTACCAAAGAAGTTCAAATGAAACTTATAACTACATCTGTGATGTAAAGAGAACAAATACAAATGTTTATTTACATTATTTTTGGAATAACTTGATCATTTCGATAGTTCTAATGCTAACAAGTGACGAATAGTAAATTCATTTCTCTGTACTTATGAAATCCATCCATCTTACATTTTACGAAAACCAATGAATTTTTCAAAATATTATTTATTGTATAAAGTATTATAGGAATAAGACTTGCAAGGGATGAAATGTTTCGTACCGACTTTCATCTGAATCAGAACGCAACGCTTGATGTATTCCATCCGTTGGTATATTTCTTTTTTATTTTTACACTTCTTCAATTCCTTCCATTTTTTCTTTTTACTTTAAGCGTACAAAGTTGCTGTGAATCTTTCCTATCGAACTTTGTCGAGATATATATGTAATAGTCTCTGTAAAGCATTATTTAGACCGGATACTTTACACATTAAAAACAGAACGTATGTATATGTATGTATTTATAATACAGGGTGTTCGTAGCCGCGGCAACTAACTAGTTTATTTATATATAAAATATCCTAATCTTTATTAGAACATAGACATTACATGTCAACAGGCTTACATAATCATCCTATGTATCGTGTAACATGTATATTCGTATTAATTTATTCTTTTTGTTCGTATTTATACTATGTATAAGAGCTCCTTTTTATTTATGTGAATGCAATTGCATTGCAATTCTCTCTTCGATGCATTCTTTCTCTCTCTCTCTTTTTCTCGTTCTCTCGTCCATTATTCCAAGCCCTGTACACACGACTGCCTGTTGTTATTTTTTTATCGCATCAATTATTCCGTTTTACAAAAAACGGAATCTCGAAATGCGCGCGTTTGTCCGAAACATTTCGTGTGTTGCAAATGTACCTAAATAATGCGGCGCGTCAAAAGTTTCGAATCATTCCAATCTCTAAAGCATAAAATACAGGATCTTCGGATATTCTTCTAGTACAGCTGTATGAGAATAAACAAAAAATAAATTTTGAGTATCAGATAATTTGATATGTGGTAAAAGGGATTCCAAACTTTTGACCGATGTTGTACACATTTATGTATTTCTGTTCATCAAAAGTATTCGTCGTTTATAGTTGCAAATGCAGTAGCGTAAAACTATCTCCTCACACTTATGCGTACCGCAGTTTGAAAAAAACGAACAGAGTCGATTGCAAAAATGGATAAAATCGATAATTGGCGATTTAATAACACATACGACGTGATGGCTGCGGTTGATCCATTTTTGTTCTTTCTGTTGAATACCGCGAGTTCATTTTGTACGGGAGTATGTCAGTCAGGAGGAGAGTGAACGCGATCATTATTAACATTAATTATGTTTCGTTACAAACGTTTATTACGAAATTATAGTGACATCTGCGTATCACAGGAGAGCTCAGTCGATTTATGTTTCAAGGAACCACTCCATATTATAATCGTGTGCTCTTTCTCTTTAATTAAATCTTTAAATACTATCTTAACCGTTAACCAAACGCGTAACCATTTACCGAAAATGAATCTTTCATTTCAATGTAGAAGATGAAACAACGTGAGTAGAAATCGTAGAAAATTAAAAAACAATAATTATCTATTGAACGAACATCAAATGGAGTGGTCGCCAATTTTATCGTCACATTACGGTAGATGGTTTTCTTCTTAACATTGCTCTTCGTAGACTTTCGCTTCGTTTTTTTCGTATCAGTGTACAATAATAATGATAATCATAATAGTAATCGTAATAATAGCTAGTTGATAATAAAGTAAATTGCAAATTCGTAAAATATAGTGCGGACAATCGCAGCTGAGCTGCTGAACGATTTACTTTAAAGCGTACAAATCATTTTACCTTAGACATTTTTACTTTAGATGAATTGTCGATAAAAAAACTGTTCGTTATACTGAATATCCGGTAAATCAAACGCAACGCTTCGTACTTTCGTTTCTTCTTTACGAATTACGTCATAGCTTAAAGCGTAATGCACTTTTAGAGCCAGGTAACACAATACCTTGCAACAAGTACCGCAGCAACTCGTGTATAGATCATGAACTAAAAATCTAGAATTTTCGAGTATGTCAATTTCTGTCAAATAAATACGTTAAAAAAAAAACATTTCATTCTTCGTAAAACCTAAAATCTAATATCTTAAAAACGAAAGAACAAGAAAGAGAAGTTATTACGCAAGTCACTATCATTTTTAGAATCAAATAAATGTACGTTTTCTTTGAATTAAGAACAAAAATAAATCACAGATCAAACTATGCACGAATATGTACGGTGATGTCAATTCGTCGAACTTGTTGCCGATATCTAAAATATGCACAGAAGGAAGCATCGTGTGTGCTGGACTATATATATATATATATAATATTCAAGTTCGCTTTTCTCATTGTCAGACTTATTCGTAAATTTATTACTTCGTTTTTTTATATATACATATACACACAAAACGGTATGTATGTACATGTTGTGGTCAAATGAAATATATAATTTATTTCTAAAAAAAAAAACAAATGATCTGTTTTTTGAATGAATTATAAAAAATAAGATAGGTATTAATGAAAAGAAAAACTATAGTACATCTTGTCAAAGACTTAAAAGATTTGTTAGAAGTTCTTTGATATTAGTCAATTTTTCATAAAAATTTTAAGAGAACAAATACTGGACTCGAATACAAAATCAACATGAATAATTATAATATACAAAAGCAGTATACTCGTAATATGAAAATAGCTCAAAGCATTAAAATCTCATCGTTAAACGGTCCGACAAAGAATCTTTTTTTTCTTCAAATGCCGAATCATTAATACTATGTGATCATTATAGACATTAATATTATCTATCGTACGCTCTGCTTTTAGCAGTCTAACTATTTTCGAAAGAAATTTTCGAAAATGTTGAAAAAATAAATGTTGACCTCTTGCGTAGAACGTAAATGCTACAATAATATACATATATAGTAATTAACAAGTGTTACAGAAACGTTTTCTTACAACTTTTTAACGATACGA